TTGCCTGATTTCTTTGGGTCCTGAAACAGAAGCTATTGCTAAGAGCATCCTCGACCATTTGACTGGACTCAGCTGTTGGAGAGCTTACGGACAATTAACGTGAAGCCAAACTCACCTGGCAAGCAGCGGGTGTAGTCAACGAAAAGGTAGAAAAAGCGACAAGTAACGGAGAGCAACGACGATAATCCTTTATCCCTCCTTTTGGTTAGAGGAAACGGCCACGTGTCGCTGCTGAACTATTACTAAAACAACATCGAGCTCAGTTATTTTTCTGTTTCTATATTTCTTCTTTAATGTAACATGCTAGAAATTTCTCAAACCACTATTATTAAATTCTTAAATACTAAAGTAAGACCTATAACCGCTATGTTATAAACGCGGCATTTTCGTTAAGCCGTTTACAACGACCTAGCAGCGTTCTTCCGCTGTCTCGCGCCACGACGCCGTGAAGCCACTCCCCATTTGTGTGTTTGTGTAACTTTCAAAGTAAAAGTGAGACAAAATCATCACTTGTAATGCAATAAATCATGAAATACACAACAGTACGGAAGTTAATATGAATGAATAAACGAATAAATCAGAAATATTAAACTATGACAAACTTAATAAGAATTTTATAATTAAAGTTTTTTAAAGACGTGTAGAAATTACAAATACATTTGATGATGTTTTCTTTTTTTATTATTATGGTACACGCGGTCTTTGGAGTGTTAAAAAGTTAAAACTGGGCTTTTAATTTAGTCTAACTTCAATTAACTATAATGCACCGCTGTTTACCCACTTCACCCACAGTGGGTAAAGCTTTCACCTAGATTTTAGCGATTTGAGCCTCGAATGCGCACATAACAGGCAGAGCCTTAACTCACCACTGACACGTGTTCATGTGTGATGCCAGGTAGATGGTTAAAATCCGAACACGTGGGAAATACCACTTTATCCAGGTTAAGTTGTTACCTTTATGTTTGCCACCACTAAATCTTTTGTTTCTGCTCAGTTTTCGCACTTTTATCAAAATAAGAAAATAAAAGAAAACAAAGGAGGCAGAGGCTGATGCAATAGTCTCAACATGGCTTTTACAGCCTACTGGAATTAGAACTTCGTGCCCGTGAGTGGTTGTAGCAACATTGTTATTGTTCAG